TGATCCGCTCCGGCATGGCTGCTTTCCTTGATCTTCTTCTTGAGGCCCGCAAGAGCTTCCATGTACCCGCTGATGATGGCCATCTCCTCCTTCGATCCGGCGAATTCTTTTCTTGCCAATGGGTCTGGCAATCCGGTCAACAACCATGATGCTTGCCAGTCCCCGCCTGCCAACACGCTCTGAACCTTTGCCTTTAAGTTCTGCACAAGTTGGGCGGTGGCCGCCTCCGGCTGGTTGGTCCTCAGCAGCTCGTACACTGCACAGTCCATCACTGCACATCGTTGTATCCCTTTGAACTTCCCCCACGGCTGACGACGAACATAATCTCTGACAGTCCACGCCTGCCTCGGTACGATACCAAGCTCCTCGATGATCTCCTTCTCGAAGAGCTGAACGATCCGCTTCGGTTTCTTTCTGATCTGCTCGTGCAACCGATTCAAGGTACTGACTGCTTTCATGCCTTTCCCCCGAAGGTCGAAATCGCCGTCCGAATCGTCTGAACTGGAGCCACCAAGGAGCTCCTCTCCCCGATGCTTCTTTTTCTTCTTCGCCTCGTCGCGGTCGAGCAACATGGTCATCATCATCGGGAGGCGCGAGGCGGCCTCTCTGCTGGGCCCGCGTCGCTGCTGCCCAGCTCCTTCTTCCCAACTTTCTCCCATACAGTCTTACTCGGCCCCAAACCAGGCAACTCCCGAACTCGAGGCCCCGTCCAATTGCTGGGTTGAGACTCCGTGGCCGATTCAGATGGAACGCGAAGGAAAGCCACTGAAGTATCTCCTGATTTGCCTTCAAGCTTATTCGACAACCCCTCGGCAGCTTTCACACTCGTGGCGATCACAATCTCGCCCTCACCGAGCTCAACGATCCATCCCGACACGGGCTTGTCACCGGACGAAGAGCGACATGTCAAGTAGACTACGTCGCCTATCTGAGTCATCCCCCCTAAAAGCCTGAGAGATCACAGCAACGAGTGGCCTGGCTCATCCAACACTGCAGTCTGCATTGCATGACCTGGGACGGCAAGGCGGGAATCTTCCTCTCAATGCGCCGAAACGCTGTCTTTAATTACAAATTCACTTCACTTGCTACCACCCCGAGCCCATGCAATCCATGCTTTTAGCAAGTAGTGGTATTCATTCCCCTGTTTTTCCGGTCACATGGTCAACATCCTGGACCCACGTCACATCTTGGCTTATGTGCGAAGTACAGCTTTTCTCACCACGACTGTCATCACTATTATGCGCATCATCATCATCATTACCATTAATTCCCAGCAAGATCGTCATCACCATGGGTGTCATCACCGGTATTCGCCTACTGGACCGGTGCAATGAGCACGTATGACGAATTGTTGTACACATTAGGAGCCGGAAACATGTAAATACCCGTGAATGCTTCATTCACCAGTCTGTTTTGCATGCTATATGCTCGTGAATGATACTGTTTGCTTGGATGTCCAGTTCGTTGAAGGGCTTTCTTACTACTACTTCAGCGGATGTGGAACAATGATATCCGAATATGCAATCATCTGAGAATCGCACCAGTGTTTTTTTTTATTTTGGCGCTTCAATATTTACACCGTGGTTCCCTTCTGTTTCCATTATAGTCAAAACCTTTGTTTTATTTCAAAATTCCGGTGTTTGTGTCAAACATCCAATATATCAACCCTATTTCGAATGAAATACATTCAATCGGAAAACTAAAGCCCCCGTGTTTTGAAAGCGATTGACGAGCCGAAGATATATGTATGGGAGGTACACATGCCTGCACACATACCTGCGCGCATGTGTATATGCAGGCATGCATGCAAGTATGCACTCATGTATGGTGTGTATAAGATGAGTCTATCATACATCACTCATATGGCCGATTGGCCTACTCATCCATCCACCCATGCATCCATGCATCCATCAATCCATCCATCCATCCATGCATCCATCCATCCATCCATCCACCCAGCCATCCAGCAGTGGACCATGTCGATGGCACCTTGGTAAGTCAATCGTGGAATTGGTACGTACTACATGGTCGGACATCTTAACAGTGTCGACTGGGTTTGCCGACTTTTGTTCCGATTTCGCTGCGAAAACAATTGCGCCACGTGCTTAATCGGTCGTCTTGTGATCCCAGCCGACCTTCTACACTGCTGCTTCCGACCTGTGTCGGGGAAAAAAACTTATTGTTCACTGCGGGAAATCTCGTGGAAGTGCATCATCCTCGCATACGAGGTTCAAGCAAAATGTTTCTGGTTTTGAACACACAGCCTACATGGTTTTTGCGCACAGTTCGCGAGTCACCGGCGTCGTCGGCAGTTTTTGGCTTTCACACGACATTGTTGCTTCTCAACAACACAGCAGAGCTCCATAGCTTTTAGGGTCCAGAGCACGTAGTCACGCTGCGGGTGCCAGTATCTCAATTGACACGGGCATTAAGAACTTCTTCCAATGCTTCTTCAGCACTGTAGTTCTCTAACCCACAATGAGCCAAGCGCAGAGTAGTGCCGGACTTCGACACACACCGCCAAAGCAGTGGAACAGGACTCGGAAACGGCGTCCCTCCCGGCTCGCAGCACTGCCACAGGGCTCCACACATCTGTCGCCAAGCGTGCAAGACGTAGCCCAGCGTGGTCTTGAAGACAACTGGCTTCAATTCACAGCCCAGCAAACTTGGGCTTCAGTTCTCTAAACACTAGACCTGGCTCCTGAATGCGAGAAATTCTATCTTAAAAGCGAACGAAATCAAAGGAAATATAAAACAACACACAAGCAGAAGAAGCGCTTACACGAAATCGCTGTCAAGGTGTTAAAATCGATTCTCGAAAGGGAGGACGCAAAGGCCTTCGAAGGCGTCGAAGGGGAGGACGAATGAAAAACTCAATGGACGTTTCGCTGATGGTCTGGAATGCACTGTTATCAACAACAACAAGAACAACAACAATCAAGCACAGATGCAGTCAGCTTCGGAATGCAATCACTCGGTCGGGACTCTCACTCTTCTGAGTCAATCAGATCTTGAGCCACTTGAGCCAATGCAGGCACAATAGGTATGCACTGCATGATAGGCTGAGCAATGACCATGTCTTCTAACACGGCCCCGTGATTGTGACAATTTGTCATCAGTCACACTAATATATATATATATACAACAGTCGAAACTACAATCACCAAACCAAAAGTCGTTGTGCAAATCATCAACGTGGAAAGAATCAAAAGTTTGTAAGCAGAAGCAGGAAATGCAATCAGATTCAGGCTCTCTCACGAAGAAGTTGGCTCGATCTCTTTTGCTGGAGAAAACTGCAATGTTCTGTCACGGTACAGGCGAGCAATTCGATCGTCATGCAGGAAAATCCTTCGGTACATCGAATGAATCGCGCAGACAATCTAGTGACTCTAGTGCTCAATCCGAGCAACATGGTTCGGTTTATGTATTTGCAGCTGCCACATGTTTCATGCCAAAGTATCAAATGGATTATATCTCATAATCCAAATGTATATGAAGTATAAAATGGACTTGATGCTCTCACTCGCTCATCACTTCATTTTTCACTGCCGGGAATGCGATCCATGTCAGCTGCGGTAGATCAACTCAGTCAATCACGAATGCAACTGGATCGGCATGCTCAGCTCCAACCTATATGCGGTGAAAGTAGAGGGACAGCTATGGTAGCATGACAACAAACCTTGTCGAGCCCCCATGCAACTGTGTACCACCGTCACGCTGCAAGCACAACCCAAGGTAATGTAAAGCAACAAAACTGTGAGAACAAGCGGAAATGCATGCCGAAAAAGACACTCTGGAAAGCAGCCGTTCTTCAAAAGCGGAAATGCAACAACGCACAGTTGCCACGTTGAGCCAGAGCATACAGTCTTCGAAAAACACCGCCATGTGCAAAGGATGCGATGTACACATCCTTCGCACCAGAGTGTTCACAATACTTTTTTTTGCGACAGCCACAGGACCTTTCCTCCTTAGGACAATTCTGAGTTTTAGATACTCCATCCGCTCTGCTCTGTTGTGACCTGAGATCGATCACGCCGACAGAGAGAGAGCGTCAAGGAAGCCGTCGGCAGCGATACAGGGGCCATGAAGGAGCCGAGGCAGCTCCAGCGAGCATCAGAGCTCGCACTGTTGAGCCGCGACCGTGTCTGGCTACAGGCGCAGCGGAAGGAACGAGGTCGTTGAAGATCCGTCTCTTTGCGGACGCAAAGCTCGGTGTCCGTTGCATGAAGGCGGATCCACCTTCAAAGGCAAGGGGACGCGGAATAAGGCCTGTCCTCAGCACGTTTATTTCCTTGATTGCTTCCTCAACCTGCCGAAGAAGTGCAGTACGGCGAGCCGCGGCTGGAGACGGAGCCGCCAAAGCGGCCACGTCAAGGATCCCGTCGCGCACTGCTGGAGAGAAGAGCCTGCTGCTCTCCGGCATGCCCGGCACCGGCAACGGGACGCCGTGCAGCGGGCTCGAGAGTTCCCGAGCGCGCCGACACCTGCCTGGTGGTTCCCACGCTCGCAGGGTCGCCATCAACGGTGTTGCTCGGCAAACCCGATCTACGAACTTGATCTCTTGCCGGTACTGCTCGCTTTGAGGGTGCGCTGGCGCTCACGTGTCCCTTCAAAGAGCAATCCAGCAGATGCAGCAAGTAAGCCTCCGGCTCAAAGGTGT